TTCTCCTCCATTCTCCTCTCGGGATCTTGGGCACGCATGCATACACGCCTGGCATGAGTTTAAGCCACCAGGTCCGGGACTCGAACTGCGGTGGACTACGTGGGAGTCCAGTGACATAGCTATTACGCTAACTGCTGGTTCCCAGGTGAGGTATAAATTTTTTAGGTGAGACATTGATAATTTTTTTTGCCCTTTGAGTCTTCATATTTTAGTGATACAGCCTGAAATATCTGAGGATCAAGTCATATGATATCTGGGATTTACTTCAAGTTCATATGGGTGAGGGTGATGTGGATGGCAGTAGAGATGAAACTGGGCCGGCCTTGAGCTGACAATCGTTGACGTGGGGGGTTGGAGGTTTCATTATGCTATTCTATCCATCCATCTGTCTGTCCATGTATCTCTATATTGAGTTGGTGGGAAAGTCATGATGCATTTTTTCTATGACTTAATATTTGTAATTCTTTTTTTAAAGAATTATTTTATTTTACTTTTTAATTTAATTGATTAATTTATTTCAATTGACCAGAGAGGGACAGAGTGAGAGAGAGAGAGAGAGAGACATAGAAAGTGAGAAAGGAAGCTGCCCGGGAGCCAGCAGTTAGCGTAATGGCTATGTTGTTGGACTCCCACGTAGTTGACTGCGGTTTACGTCCCGGACCTAGTGGCTTAAAACTCACGCCGGGCACGTGTGCGTGCGTGCCCAAGATCCCGAGAGGAAAATGGAGGAGAAGGGATTGCGGCGTGACCATCCCCCCGGGGGTGATTTCTCGCTTTCTGTCTCTATGTCTCTTTCTGTCTGTCTGGAGAGCACATGTGCCCTATAGCAAAAAACCTCTAAAAAAATAAAATAAAATAAAATAAAAATTAAAAAAAAGAAGCTGCCAGGTCTGGACTTGAACTGCAGTCAGCCATGTGGACATCAGTGCCCCTAGCCGCCACGCCACCTGCCGGCCCCTAATATTTGTAATTCTCCATAATAAAAAATTTTAAAAACTCTTTACCATATGTTTCCTATTCCTCAAGGTAGAGTCCGCCCATCTTAACATGACCTTGAGACCTCTTTACCACCTGGTGCCTACTAACCCTTCAGGTTCATCTCCTGGGCTGTTCTGGCCCCAGAAAATGATCTGCAGTGGGCCCTAACCCTTATACCCCATCTTGCCTCTGGCCCTTTGCACTTACTGTCTTCTCATTGTACTGTACTTTTTCTTCCCTTTCTATCCACCTGTCCTCACCCTGATTTGCCTGCCTAACTCCATGGGTCCTCAGGTCACAGACAGCATGACTGTCTTCAAGTTTTCCCTCACTGTCCTCTCTCCAAGTGTGAGTTAGGTACCCCTCTAGGGGTACCTCTATCTCTGTGTTTTCCTCACTTGAGTCTTCCTTTCAGTGATTCTAGCCATCCACTTCTTTCCTGTTACCTGCATTATGTTGTGTGGTGTGTGTTTAAGAAAGGGATTATGCCCTGTTGACACTTCTGTCCCTGGTACCCAGCACAATGCCTGGTGTATAGCAAGCAGTCCATACATTAGAGGCCCAGCCCAGGCTTGGTGACACTTGGCCTCAAGTCTCCCAGTGTCTCTACATAGTGCCAGTGATGCCTGGTGCTGACGTGGCTTCTGCCTGCCTTGTTTCTTCACACCTCTGTTAAATGTGACTGTTCCATTTTGTTGGGCTTTTCAGTGACTTCCTATGAGTCACAGCAGTGCACCCATAAGTTTGGACACTGTATTCCCATATCTCTACTGCACAGGGTAGGAAAGCTATAAAACCTGGTGCTTTTGCAAAATGATGAGTTCTGAAATGGTGCCCAGCACTAGAAGGCAAGAAAAAAATTTTTGAGAAATTTTTCCTATAGGGTGCATGCACTTGCCAGAGAGACAGAGACAGAAAATGAGAAATCATCCCCCAGGGGGATGGCCACACCGCAATCCCTTCTCCGTTCTCCTCTCAGGATTGTGGGTACACATGCACATGAGCCCAGTGGGAATTTTAAGCTACCAGGTCCAGAACTCAAACTGCAGTCAACTATGCGGGAGTCCAGCAATGTAACCATTATGCCACCTGCTGGTCGCACTAGTTGGCAAATTTAAACATACTCATTATTGATTAAATAAATTGTTGTTCCATTTTGAGTAGGGCTCTACTATAGGGCACAAACTCCAAGGGGCCTTTTATAATGTCAAGTCTATGGTAGACATATGAGCCTGGAACTATACCAAGAATGTTTGTTGCAGTAGTTTGAAACAGGATAAAGAAATAGTGAATAAAATATCCATGAAAATCTTCTAGTTGTCATATAAAAGAATACTACGCAGAAGTGAAAATGCATGAACTGCAGCTAGACATAGAAATTGGTTGAATCACACCAAAAAATAGCATGTCAAAGGATATATAATACAGTACTATTTATATCAAGTACAAAAATATGTTTAGGCATACATACGTACATATAGCATATGACATGCCAATACATGTCTCTACATTTTGTCTTGGTCTGTTCAGGCTGCTATGACAGAATACCTTAGCCTGGGTGGCTTATAAACAGCAGAAATTCATTTCTCACAGTTCTGGAGGCTGGGAAGTCCAAGGTCAAGGTACAGCAGATTTAGTGTCTGGCAAGAGCCTGCTTCCTAGTGTATAGACGTGGCCTTTCCACTGTGTTCTCACATGGCAGAAGGGGTGAGGTAGCTTTCTGAGGCTTCTTTTATAAGGGAGCTAATCCTATTCATGAGGGTTCTACCCACTTGAACTAATCACCTCCCAAAGGCTTCATGTACCGTCACATTGGGAGTTAGGTTTCAGCATCTGAGTTGGTGGGAGAGGGACACATTCAGTCTATAACATGTGCGCACATGCACACACAGGGAAATGATACATACAGAGGTCAGGATCTGTCTGGGCAGGAGGGAGGAGATGTGATCGGGAAGGGCACATAGGGCTCTGAGTGCAGGTGATGCTCTGAGACTTGGGCTGCATGGTAAGTCCATGCTTTGTCATTTTGTTGTATTTTGTATTTCATATAAAGCTAAATATTCTTTGTATATATGATTTATTTTGTAACAAAAATCATTAAAAATTAGTCCATCAGGAAGTTCTAAATAACACTACATTCCCAACACTGAAGAAGAGTTTTGTTTGTTTAATGTTTTTCTTTATTCATGATAGAGTGTATGTGTGTGCATGTGAGAGTGAGACAGACAGTGTGGGATGGAGGGGTATGTGTCTCGGGCTTACCAGGCTGGGTATTCGAACAGCTGTTGCCATGTCGGATTTGGTTATTCTCGAGCAACACATTGCCACTGTGCCACAAAACTAGTAAAGAAAAAACAGTTGGTTTTGTTCTTACTGCTTTTCTTCCATAGTTTATGGGGTAATTTTTTGTTAGGTTTTTTGCCATAGCGTGCATGCACTCACCAAAGGGAAACAGAGAGAGATAAGTGAGAGGAAAAGTGAGAAATCACCCCCTAGGGGGGATGGCCACACCATAGTCCCATCTCCTCCATTCTCATTGGGATTTTTCATGCACACACGCCCAGCATAATTTTCAAGCTTCCAGGTCCAGGACTCAAACTGCAGTCAGACATGTGGGAGTCCCGCACCTTAACTATCACGCCTCCTGCTAACCCTGATCATGGGGTAATTTTAAGCAACCCATTTATTTTATTTTGTTTAAGAGAGGGATGGCCGGCTCTCCTTTTGTCCGCCATTGTGTGTGCAGGCCACTCGGTTCTTTGCCATGTCTTCTCACGAGACTTTTAGAATCAAGCAATTTCTGGCCGAGACACAGAAGCAAAATCGTCCTATTCCCCAGTGGATTAGACTGGTAACGAAATCAGGTACATCTCCAAGAGGAGACACTGGAGACGAACCACGCAGGGTCTCTAAGGAACTGGACAGGAGATGGCCCACATGTTTATGCTGTACCGCGGTCACTATGGTCTTCCCACATCAAGCTGAAAATGGTCACCACTGGTGGCATGGTGGTTAAGGATGCTGGATTCCCACATGGCCGACCACAGTTTGAGTCCTGGACCTGGTGGCTTGCTTTCTTGCTTTCCCTTTCTCTCTCTATGTCTCTGTCTGGTCAGATTAAAATAATAATAATAATAATAACAAATGGAAATAAATGAATAATTCTTTTTTAAAAAAAAGAAAAACAAGAAAATGGTCACCACTTTCTGGACACTTGGGGGTGTTTTATTGGGGAAAAAAATGATGTTTCACTTTGTTTCCATGTTCTGCATTGGCAGGTTAGTTCAGTAATAAATATGTGAGACCTTTTGTTTGAAGGGTGATGGCTTAAATACAAATTGGCACAGCTCCCATTGACAGTCACCAGTGAGTAGATTAAGTAAACAGATCATCTCTCCCCACCTGTCCTCTCATTGTCCATCCCAGATGTTGCCGTGGTGGACATGAGCGATGTCTCCAGACAGCCTTCCCTCTTCTACCATCTTGGAGTCCGTGAAAGCTTTGACATGGCCAATAACGTGATCCTGTACCACGACACGGATGCCGATACTGCTCTTTCATTGAAGGTAGAGTGCATCGTTCATTCTCCTGAATACTTCGCTCTGGGAAAGCACAATTATATGTTCAGCTGAAGTGTGACTGTAGTACAGGAGGTTGGAGGGAAACAGTGAAGATTTGCTCATGCAGTTCCTTCCTTTCCATCCCAGGTTCTGGCTCCCACAGATCACTTCCTGGCCACCGTGTGAGCACCTATGCTTAGCCCCGTGTTTGCAGGCAGCTTGAGCATTTCCAGGCTTGTTAGAGAAGCAAAGGCAAAACTCCTGCTGGTTTCTATTGGAGCAAGCGCACCACTCTGAATCTCTTCTTGGGCAATTTGTTCCAAACCTACATATTATAAAAAATCAGTTTTCAACTTGGATAACACATAAAGACTTTTAATAATTATCCATATAGGCAGAACAAGTTAGCATAGACATACATAGTCAGTCTTTGATCTGTCATTTGCTCCCAGTCTGAAAGCAAAGCCGAACTGAAAGCTGTGTGTTCCTACACAACTCAGTAATTATGGAGTATTCCTAAAACATATCTTGCAAATTTGATACAAGCTTTTTTTGATACCTTGGTACTTTTTAAAATGCTTGTATTTGTAAAATGTAAATGTCTTAACAGTTGTTCCAAGATTCAGCTAATATTAATATTTTTGACTAATACTATGTTAAATCATTTTAGGACAACAGGGTTAGTTTGCTTACAGCAATGCTTCTCAGCCATGACTGTATTTTAGAATCACCTGGAGCGCTTGGAAGTATCCCAGTACCTAGGCCACACCCCAGACCAATTATGGCACAACCTCTGGGGGTGGGGCCCAGGCATGGGATTTTTTTAACCTCCCCAAATGTGCAACCAGGTGTGAGAACCAGTAGCTTAGAGAGTGAGCCTTCACAGACATTATTTCTAAATGTCTGCCTTCCTCGGTGTTAAAAATCACTAGTAAATAATGATGTGGTTTAAAGCTCAACTTAGACATGTTTGTTTGTGTTTCTTGAGATTTAATATTAACCAGATTTTCCGGGTTCTGTAATGATTCAAGATTATTTTCTGATAGAAATACCACCTGCTTCAGATGTGTAACCTATATGTCTTAAGCAACATATGCTCCTTACATAGATGTGTGCTCTCTAATTATAGCACAGTATTGTATTTTAAGAAGTCATTCATAGGATAGTGGAAGAAGAAACCGCTTTATTAGTGTACTTTATATTGTAGAATAGTTTCCCAAAAGAATAAGCCAATTTAAATTACTTTAGATAGTCAGATGTTGATTTTTTTTTCTTTTCCTCATTTTTCACTATGGCACACTTAGAAATACTTAGAATTTAGAAAACGTGAAACTGTGGATTACTAACCTATATTTTTTAGAATTCTTTAATTTATTTATTCATTCATTTTGTTTTATTATTTATTTATTTATATATTTTTGGAGAGATTTGTGCTATAGAGCGTGTGTGTGTGCTCGCCAGAGAGACAGAGAGACAGAAAGTAAGAAATCACCCCCCCCCAGGGGGGATGGCCACGCTGCAATCCCTTCTCCATTCTCCTCTCGGGATCTTGGGCATGCATGCACATGCACCCAGCGTGAATTTAAGCCACTGGGTCCAGAACTCCAATCACGGTCAACTGCATGGGAGTCCAGCGACTAGCCATTACACTAACTGCTGGTCTCTTTATTTTTATTTTTAAAAATTGTTATTTATTTCATTTTATTTGTCATTATTATTCAATTTTTTAATTTTATTTTAATTTTTTTTACAATTAAAGTATGAATGTATTTTGGTACAAAAACTTTTTGAAATTCATACATAGTTTTTCCACTATACATATTTCCATGAGCTTTTTTTTTCTGAAACTTTTTGAATTAATTTACATTTATTCCCTGAGCACTAACCTATATTTTTATGAGAAATGTAGAATTAGGATGTATTTTTTTTTTCCAATTCAATCCCAATTTTTCTTAACTGTGCCTTAAGGAAGCCCTCTGGAATGTCCCATAACCTAGATAAGCTTTAATTTTTAATAATACAAAAAAAGTCCTATGATGGAAATGGGTAGTCACTTATATCAGACACCAGGAGGAGCAGTCTACACTTACTACCGCAAAATAGAAATCTCAGAATATATAAAGCATGTCTTATAAGGCACTGTTTAATTATATTTTAGAAATGTTGGCTGTTGTCAAGGGCTGCATAACCGTCATGCTGAGTTGACTAAATTGCTGTTACTGGATTTGAACCTTCTTAGGCAGTTCTAGTGGGGTGGCAGGAATCCTACCAGAATCACCCCTTCTGGAGCAAGGCTGGCTGTGGCAAGGCCTGCAGCCTTAGCATTGAAGGGCTCACAAAAGGGACCAGAGACTAGCAAGGACCTTCTTAGGGCTTTTTTTCCCTTGCTAACATTCTTATCTGGGAAGACAAGAGGCAGGGCACTCAGCACCTCAGTCTTACATTTTAAGATACCTTTGGGCAAAACCATTGCCCTTGCTGTGGAAAGTTTCTTTTTTCTTTTCTTTTCTTTCTTTCTTTATTTTTGGAGAGGTTTTTGCTATAGGGCGTGTGCACCAGAAAGCCAGAGACAGAGAAACAGAAAGCGAGAAATCACCCCCAAGGGGGGATGGCTACGCCGCAATCTGTTCTCCTCCATTCTCCTCTCAGGATCTTGGACATGCACACACACGTGCATGGCTGTGGGAAAGTTCTTATATGCAGAAATATTCCCCAGTAGTTCCTAAGCTCATCAATTATGGAAAATTTTCCTTGGGATGAGAATTTTCCCATTCTCAGAGGTCCATCATGTTTGGAGCATCTTGAACAGGAGGTTTTAAGTGATTAACTCTTGATGTTAGAGGAGTGGTACTGGATGCTGGGGGAGGGGTGCTGGCTAATGCTTATGGAAATGAACTTTTTTTGGGGGGTGGAAAAGCTATATTCATCTTTTCTTTTTCTTTTCAGGATATAGTAACTCAAAAGAACACAGTGAGTATTACATTTTCAGATTTTTAGCCTTGCAAAAGAAAATTGTTAAAATGTTTGCCAGGAAATCGCAAGGTAGTGATGTAATTTTTAATGGTGCTCGATGGTTATATTTCTGAGGAGGGCAACTATACACGCCCCTATCCCTCAACTCTCCACCTAGCTTAGGCTCTACTCAGCCATTGAGGCTGCGAGGCAGAAGGCAAGGTTAGGCCAGTATAGGTATGGTCTTAGTTACTCACTAAGGCTTTGAACTTGGAACCATCTGGATATTTCCTCCAGAGTTATATCTATGTGCTCATGGACCACTAGGAATTGTTTTCTTGGAGCTAGTATCTCCCATACTTCCCCACCAAAGTTGCCCTAACAATGGAGGAATGTCAACTCGTACCCTAGTTAATACGAGAGCCTAGACTGAAGTTCCCTGATGCAAGCTGAAAAGAAGTGGGACAGAATTCCACTTCCTTCTGTCCTATATATGTACCAAAGTCTCTTGACTTGGCTTAAAAATTCTTGCAATTACATCATTTTATTTCCAGGTTGATTTGAATAATATAATGAAACCACCACCCTACAAACATGTAAATAAGATCACGTTCTTGAAAATTGTGCCTCAGAAAGTTTTTCCCCCACCTTTGAATGCTCCCCAGGCTGCCCATCTCCCAGACCTATGGCACCGTGGTTTAAGAAACCATGACTTAGCCTCAGGACGGGCCCTTGATCTCTCTCTGTTGGACCTCAGCCTACTTTCCACTGGCCCTTCTGGAAAGGGAAGGCCTCCTGCCTCTTTTTCTGTCCCAGTCGGACTTCTTAGAGGGAGAGGGAGGGGGGAGAAAAGGGCTCAGGAGGCAGAGCTCTCTCCAGAGTGCCCTCTGTAGGGACTCAGGGGGCATTGCTGACTTGAGCCCTCCACAGAAGGCCTCACCAGCAGCTGAGGCCTGGGATTCCTCACAGAGGACCCCCACAGAGTTCACCACCTGAGGCGGAAACCTTGACCCTCCTTCCACAGCCTGAAGATGAAGTTCCAGAAACTGAGTTGTGTAGTTTATGTGATTACCACTGGATTATGGGTTTAACAAGTTGGCCTGTAAAATAAGGTATCCGGGTTGCTTCAGGTTCATCTCAGAAGAGAAATGGGATGATGCGCGACTTCATTTTGTCCTATTTGTGTACTGACATTGTCCACTTGTGGGAGCCTTTTCTATTCTTTCAGAGTGAGAGAGAGGGAAACTAAGAAAGCAAGTCACCAGGTCTGGGACTCAAACTGCAGTCAGCCATGTGGGGGTCCAACACCCCAACCACCATGCTAACTGCTGGCCTGAAACACTTATTTCTTAAAATAACAAGAGTTACATTAAGGCAAGGAGCAATGGAGACAACTCATTTTCCTCTCCTTACGGTTGGCCATACCCACACTTAGAAATATTCTTGTTTTCTGGGAGGCTCAGTGCCATTCTGTTCTAATTTCACTACCTTCTCTTCTAGTACAGTCTTCCTCTTTAACACTCAGGAATTTCTTAGCTTTCTTAGTAATTCTAAGCGTAATTTGGCACCATCATTCCTAGGTGTTTTGTTTGCTTGTTAGGACCAAACTTATTCTAAAGGATTTGGAAACTAATCTCTCTGCCGTATTTGGCATGACATTAGAATTTGGTACCCAGACTTGCTTGTCATGCTCTGTAAAGTGCGAAAATTTAGACATTCAGAAGGGAAAAAAGGACCCAAGGTGACCTGAAGGACAGAAAATAGCACCTGAAAAGAAAGACGGAAAGAAAATCAACCTCAGGAGGTACCATTAATGGTCATCTTCAAATAGTACCTCTGTCTGAAAATAAGGAGAAGTTACTTCTCCCATTCCAGATGGACTGAAAGTAGGACAAACAGAACGCAAGCTTAGGTCAGCAGAATGGACATCCTGCCACTAATGGGGATTAAATGTTAACATAGAATATCGAACCCAGTTGGGTAACTTTCAAGGCGCGTTTGCTCAGTTGTCCCTGTATGTGGATTGGGCTAACGCTGGAATCAGATGCTTGGATCGGGTAACCCAAAAGGTTCTGAGAGAGATTCTGATGCAAGTATGGGTTTGTGATCATTTTGGAAGATTAAAAAAAAATCATACAATGTAGTCGTACTTTGTAAGCAATAAAGTCTTATGAGTCAGGGATACAGATGTCATCTGTCGAATATGTCACTTTATGAATATGTGAAAACCAAGATACTTTGAGATCTCTGTCTACAGGGAGTCATCTGATCTTTCTAAAATTATGCCTGATAACATATTGAATTCAGCTTCATTCAGCAGAGAGGTAGTCCCGATTGTCTCTGTGACTATAAGCATTTGCTTTGTGGAGGACGTAAAGGATGGAAGACGGTGATCTCTGGGCTTCTGGCTAGACCACCTGCAGCCATTCTGGACTCCTTTGTTCCGTGTAAACATGGTGTTACCTTTTGTGCTCACCTATGTGTTTCAGATTATATTTGTATTTTTGTGCTTCAGGCTTTTTTTTAAATGCTTGATTCAGATATAATTTACATACCATAAGATTCACCTACTTAAAGCAGAATTCAATAACTTTTAGTAAATTACAGAACTGTGCAGCCATCACCACAATCCAGTTTTAGAGCGTTTTCATCACCCTCCCCCCAACCAACTGTTTGCAGATAATCCCTGTTTCCAGCCATAGCCCCAAGCAATTACTAATCTGATTTTATAGATTTGCCTTTTCAGACCTTTTCATATGAAGAGAATCATACACTATGTGGTCTCATGCATCTGCTTTCTTTCACTTATGTGAAGTTTTAGAAGTTCATCTTTGATGTAGCATGTATCAGTAGTTCTTTCATTTGTATTACTGACGTTCTACTGTATGGCTAGTCCACATTTTATTTACCCCTTCCTCAGCTGATGGGTATTTTGAGTTGTTTCCACACTGGGGCTGTTATGAATAACACTGGTATGAACATTCAAGTAGAAGTCTTTCTGTGGCTGTATGTTTTCAAATCGCTTGGGTAGGTACCTAGAAATGGAATTGCTGAGTCATATGGTAAATATATGCTTAACGTCTTTTTTCTTTCTAAAGGCTCTTGCCATAGGGTGCATGTGCTTGCTGGAAAGACAGAGAAAGACAGTTAAAAGGAAAGTGAGAAATCAACCCCCAAGGGAGATGGTCACACTGCAGTCTCTTCTCCTCCATTCTCCTCTTTGGATTTTTGGCATGCACACACACATATGCCCAGTGTGAGTTTCAAACCACCAGGTCCGGGATTCAAATCAGGATTGGCCATGTGGGAATCTAGTGCCTTTACCACCATGCCACCCACTGGCCTCTATGTTTAACTTCTTAAGAAACTGCCAAAATGTTTCCAAAGTGGTTGTACCACTTTGCATTTCCACCAGCAATGAGAGATCTAGCTTCTAGCTTCTCCTCACCAATACTTGGTTTTGTCTTTTTCTCATAGATGTTCTAGTGAGTATGAAGTGATAGATATCACAGAGTGTTTTTGATTTGTATTTCCCTAATGATGTCAAGCTAATGTTCTCATTAGCTATTCATAGTCTTTGGTGAAATGTCTACTCAAATCTTTTGTCCAGTTTTAGTTGGGTTGTTTTCTTATTATATGGAATTGTAAGAGTTCCTTACATACTCTGAAAGGAAAGAGCTTATCAGAGGCTTTATCAATCCTTTCTTTTGGTGTTATATTTAGGCACTCTTAGCCTAAGCCAATATCATAAAATACTACTCATGTATTTTTTGTTTAATTTTTTTATAGTTTTAACTCATACATCTGGGTCTCTGATCCATTTTAAGTGTGTCGGCATGGAGTAGGTGTCCAACTTCATTCTTTTGCATATGCATATCCAGTTGTCCCAGCACTATTTCTTGAAAAAGACAGTCCCCCTCATTGAGTTGTTTTGGCATCCTTGCCGAAAAGAATTGATTAGATATATAAGGTTTTAGTTGGGACTCTCAGTTCTATTCCATTCATCTATGCCATAGGGCGGGCGCCTCCACGCCCCTGTTCCATTCATCTATGCATTCAGAATGAAACCTTGCATACGTAGCCAATTGTTTTTGCCAAGGATGACAAATGAGTTATGATACCTGAAGGAGCTCCCAGCAGGTGGGAAAGCAGATCCTTTTTTTTTTTTTTTGGAGAGGTTTTTCACCATAGGGTGCGTGCACTTGCCAGACAGACAGGGAGAGACAGAGACAGAAAGCGAGAAATCACCCCCCAGGGGGGATGGTCACGCCGCAATCCCTTCTCCTCCATTCTCCTCTCGGGATCTTGGGCACGCACGCACACATGCCCAGTGTGAGTTTTAAGCCACCAGGTCTGGGACACGAACCACAGTCGACTACATGGGAGTCCAGCGACATAGCCATTACGCTAACTGCTGGTTCCCAGCAGATCCTTTTTTGAAGGGTGACTCTGGGTAGCACAACTGAGTGTCTACAACATTATAATAATTTCATCTGTAAAACATACAATTTATATATACCCCAAGACTAAGAACTATCTATCTAAGGTCGATAGGCACAGAACTCATTTTTTCCCTTGAATTGGATAAATACCAGAAAGCTATGTATAGCCTCACCAAGGAGGAACCATGGAGAACATATACCTTCCACTGGGAGAAAATAAGGTGTTCCACCCAACACTTGTAGAAAAATTGCTGAAAGTACACTGGATCCTATTTTCATTTGTCATGTCCTGAAGCCAGAGTTCACTGTTGTTGTTTTATAAAGAGCAGAGTTAAGTTTCCAAGCTAGGGTCACATTATTAAAAAGCACCTTATTAAAAGACATGTTATTAAAAAGACTAATCTGGTTCCTGACTTCTGGACTAGGTGATTATTTTTTTTTTCTGGAAAGTCAGTGAGATTTAAGAGAAACTCATTGTTCCCATTAAAATGGTTATCTTTATAATCTTAATAAATTAGAAATTCTTTGAGAAAAAGACATGGTCAATATTAGGGGCTTTGTCTTCAATCTTAAAAG